ATCTGCCGTCATATTCTATGTTTCTATGTATGTTTCTATGTAAACATGCCATGGCATTCACCATCTGGATACTTAACATGCTTTAGATCAATAGGAGAGGAAAGGTTGCCATCACACTGCTTCCACCATGTTTTACGGATAATGTGCTATGCTTCGGATCATCACCCGTTTCAAGCCTTCTCCTTACTTTTTCTTCCCATCATTCTGGTATAGGTTGATCTTTTATCTGTCCAAATAATGCTGTTACAGGACTGTGCTTGCTTTTTTATTTTTTTGCTTTTTGGCAAAGTCTTATGTGGCCGTTCTATTCTTGAGACTTATGAATAGTTTGCACCTTGTGGTGAGCCCTCTCTATTTGCTCTTGTGAAGTCTTGGCTATATGGTAGACTTGGATAATGATATATCTACCTCCTGGAGAGTGTTCTTAGCTTGGCTGGATGTTGTGAAGGGGTTTTTCTTCACCATGGAAAGGATCCTACAATCATCATCAAAAGCTGCTTTCTGTGGATGTCCAGACCTTTTTGTGTTGCAGAGCAGAGCGTTCTTTTTTTTTATAATGTACGAAACTGTTGATTTGGCCACTCTTGTTCCTGCTCTCTCATTGATGGATTTTTTGCAGGTTAAATATGGCCTGTTTCACTTGCATACTTTAACCGCATGTTGAGGGTTCACAGCAACAGCTTCCAAATGTGAATGTCACATCTGGAATCAACTCCAGGCCTTTCACCTGCTTAATTGATGAATACATAATGATGGAATAGCCCACACATGTCCAGGTAGCAGCCTTTGAGTCAATTTTCCAATTACTTTTGGTTCCTTGAAAAAGAGGGGGCTACATATTAAAGAGCTGTAATTCCTAAACCCTTCCTCCAGTTTGGATGTTAATACCCTCAAATGAAAGCTGAGAAACTACACTTTAAGCCCACATTCATTATGTCACTGTAACTTGAATTTATTTTGATAAACAGACAAACTATTACAAATCCCTATACATATTTAAATGACTGGAGGTTTTTTGTATCACTCCAGTAGCCACTAGGTGTAAGTCCACGTGCCACATCAAGGCAAACCTCTTGGGTGGGTCCTACACTAACAGCACTGTTAGTTCAGTAAATTTGAAGGGACAGGTGAGTGGCCAATTGCATTACAGTTAGCTGATGATGAAGCCTCACGTATTAAATTGAAGAGCTGGATATCCAGAGTGTTGCTAACAGGAAAATAATCCCTCACTTTCTTACTAATTTCATGAAATAGTAATTTGAATAATTCCGCTACAGTTGCATCAATGGAAATAGATTATAAAACAAAATATTTACAGCCCCCCAGTCCCGGCTTTCCGAGCTCCTATTTTAGCCCCTATCCTACCCAGCAAATACACTCTCTCTCTCACACACAAACACACACACACACTGCATCCCTACACACACACTGCATCCCTACACACACACACACACTACATCCCTTCACACACACACTGCATCCCTAAACACACACTGCATTCTGAATCCCTACACTCACACACACACACACACACACACATGCACACAATGCATCCCTACACACAAACACACACACACACACAATGCATCCCTACACACACACACACAGACACACACACAATGCATCCCTACATACACACACACACACACAGTGCATCCTTACATACACACACAAAGAAACATAGAATGTGGCAGCAGTAGTTAAGAACCATTTGGCCTATCTAGTCTGCCCAATTTTCTAAATACTTTCATGGGGATTAGACCCTTGGTGGGGGGGCCAAGGCAATTTTCGCACTGGGGGCCCAGTGATTTCTAGTTACGCCTCTGGGTGACAGATAATCTTATTATTTGCAATAAGCTTCTTATTTACTTATTTTCTATCCTTGCTGCAAATAATGCAAGTTTAAATATTATCTGTTAGAGAAGAGCAAATCTCTGAGTGGTGCTCCTCTTCTCATATACAACATTTAATTACTAGACAATAGGTGTAGGTTAACCCAAATCTCCTATGTGGTAATAGCAGATATGTCAAAATAGATCAATAACAATAGGGGAGGTAAAAAAAAGCCATTTAATAAATGCACCCTAATAGTACTAGATTATGTATTACAACTTGGTATTATATGTCTCTTGCTGTTCATATCCAGCCTACTGCGATAGTTCTTAATACACCTGCAATGCTATAACCGTGCTAGCTAAACTGGGTCCGATATTACAGAAAATGCAAAGCTCTGTCTAGTGAACATGTCCCTGTATATCTGATCTATATGATCTGAACTGCTAACACTACTCAGAATGTTTAAGAGTCTATCTTGCTGAAACTCTATCTTGATCATTTTTAGCTTATTAGCTTTCCAACCACCTATTACATATCTTAATACTGACCACTCATAGAGACACACTAAACAGGAAATGTAAACAGAGAAGGGCTGGTGACATGGTTGGTGTGATAGAAGATGAAGAGATATGAAGCGGTAGCAAAAAAAACCATAAAAAATACAATATTTAGCATTGTGGAGCTCAGTGTTTTATTTTATCACCTGGCTTCACATTTATTAAGAAAAACATTGATGCCTATGATTAGTGGTATAAGTGCAGAAGAAGTGTTTGGCTCTTGCCTCTTGCTCTTCCTCTTCATGCTATATAAACTTCTAGGGATCTCTGCACACAAGTAAAATGTGCGTGGGAGATCTGTGGAGTGGGGTCCACCACTAACCAGGGACAACATAAAAGTTAGGAGTCCACAGGCGTCACAACTTAGCGTGGAAACAAAAAAAATTATATTGTGGATCAAAAAAGGAAAAATGGATACAATGCCTTAGTCATGCTATATTCTGTGTCCTCCAGGGTCTGTACCTTCAGCATCTCTGTAGTACTGCATTACTAAGTGTAACTTTCTTGGTGTGGACAACACAGCTAGCTTTACAGTTTTACTAAGTAACAGACTACATTTCCTGAGTTACATTAATTTTTCAATATAATTTACATATAATGCTTCATCCTATGCACAATTAATTATGCATATCCAGTTCTTTTTTACTATTTTCATGTGACTTGTGCATATCTATACTTTGTGTAGAGTTTCTATCTCATTAACAACAATCCTGTTAACCATAAACAATGAGTTCTAAGAAATCAGATACACCAGCATTGTCTTGACCAAAACATTTTATCATCTTTGTATTTTTACAAGGATCTATCAATATTTAAAATAGAAGCACACAAAATATGTCTAATTAATAATGTTTTTTTACCTGTACAAGTTGAATATCATTGGTATCCTTTTGAAAATGATAATCAGGGTGTCGGATTGCTCTTATAATAAAGGTTTTCTGTTCTATTTCATTTTTAAACCTGTTGTGAGCACCCAACACAACTCTGAGTCCTTGAAGTGAGCACTTGTTGTATATTACATTTGTATTCTAATTGTTATTTCTGTAAATACACAAGTTGAAATAATGTACATTCATAAAAATACAACTATATATCATGCAAATATATCAATTAATAAGTGTGTAAATTATATGAATAAAAATAACACCCGATTGGAAATCTCATTAGACAACCCTGTGACGGCCACCAGGTAGAGGGTAGAAGTAAAGGGCTTTTGCCGCCAAAGATGTTCATTCTCCCTATTCAGAGTGATGCTATCATAATCCACAGCACAATAATCCAAGCATGGTATAGCAGTGTAGCTCTTAGAAAAGCTGGTGATAATACCAAAGAACAATCAATTATAGCTGGTATAGCGGTTCCCTATAAACATGAGATGAGACTCTATGTTGAGGGTAAGCAGGAACTTGTTTAATGGCAGCCACAACTGGTCTTATGCACAGGTCCCAATGCAAGGGGTTTCCAGTTATATATTCCAGGGGCATTCCCCACTGAACCTGAGAGTAGATTACTGCAAAAACATACACGATTACATTGGCTCTCAGGTCCAGGACACTCCCACACAAAATAAGATAAACCCTCCCCTGTGCCTGGGAGATAATTACTTGCGTACACAACATATAACATGCAATACAATACAACAACACCCCAAAAGTACCCCTAAGACACATGGAAACCCCACAAAAGTCATATCCCTTGGTAGCCCTGATCTGAGGGACCAACATATCCAAAAATCACCCAGATTGGTTCAGGTGCTTGGGATTTCCATGGAAGTCATAATTTTGACCGACCATGCACATGGTCCTATGCCCAAAACAGTTCCAGGGAAATAGGGCTAACAGTTGGTCTCTCTTTCTGGAGTACACAAGTACATAAATCACATGAGTTTTTAAAGGGCCCATAGTCTTTTGGCAGGAGGCTGGCAAGCAGGCCCCTCCAAGAACATGTGGCAGAGGCATTTCTGCCACAAACTCTGATTAGTAAATTACATAAGGGTGAGAATAGAGACACTCTCTACTGAGGATTTTTAGTAAGTCAATAATTAACTTTCGTAACCTTATTATAGTCATTCTTTAGATTTTTTTTTCATTTGAGATATGTATAGATCTGTAAAGACTAATCAAAAACATTTTTCTGTTCCAAAATAGTTTGCCACAAGATACTGAGATATTATTGGGTCTCTACTTTCACATTAGTTGCAAAATAGGGGAATTGTAGATAAAATATGCTGGTGTTCCCTATTAAATTTTATATTTCTGTGGTGGCTCTCTCTCAAATAGTAGGATTGTTTGACCCCCAAAAAATACAATAATCTATTGCCTTAGGATTTCCCTGTCCTATCTTCTTGTCCTCTGATGTAATGTGATAGGCCTACACTAAATATAAAAGGGGCACGGGCTCAAGTCTTCTAGTTTCTCTGGCCCAATTTCTCACCCAGTTTTCCAAATAATCAGGACCAGAGCTCAGTTTTCAGTCCTAGGTGAATCCTGTTCTCGAATAAGGATTTGATAATTGCAGACACTCTTCCTAGCCTGCTCTAAACAGTGTACAGAAACAGTTTTGAAAGAAACTTTATTTAATTTGTATACATTTAAAACTGAATAACACAGGTTTTTCACATGGATTACATTAATATGAAACACAAATATACATTTTACACTTTTCATAATTTTTCTGAAATTAGTACCTACTTAATTTATACTCAGGCAGTCAATATGTTTTAAAGCTAAGGGAGCAAGTATCAGACAGGTATCAAATCAAAATTGTGTAAAGATTATATTGGAATGAATAGAAACATAAGTTGTATAATCTAGAGCTCTGTCAGATATAGGAATTTGCATGTATGCTAGACTACATTTGGTTTCTAGCGAATTGTGATTTGAGCAAATTTTGGGGCGATTTTCAGTCTTCCAAATTCCCTAACTGTGTGGGTGTATCAAAAAACTAATGAACCAAACCAGCACCAAAAAAAAAAAAAAAAAGAGGTGATTGATGGGAAAAAAGAAAAGTCATACTTAGATGACAGCCAGTAAATGCTGATTTTATTTGCACACAAAATGAGAACAACAAAGGGAAAAAAGGATAAACACTAACAAAAATATATAGTTATAGTATTATTATTATTACTATTATTATTATTTATTTATTTATTTATTTATTTATAAAGCGGCAACACATTTTTGGATACACAGGAACGGGGGGGGGGGGGGTTGAGGGTTCTGCCCAATGAGCATGCTAGAGGGAGTGGGGTATAGTGACACAAAAAGGTAAATATAATATATTATAATTTAGGTAGAAACAGTATGGGTACAAAATTCCAGTGAGTATCCAAGCAATGTATTAAACTCTAACCCCTTAACCCACACCAACAATATAAAATGCAAATACATACAAGGTGGAGTATCTTACATGCAAATCTTGGAGTAAATCCTTAGGTGATACAAGGCTTGCATTTCATTTTTTTCACATTGAAATTTGCAAGTTTGGTACTGTTGCCTTTGAGAGCGTATGGTAGCCCAAGAATGAGCATTACCCCCATGATGGCATACCATTTACAAAAGTAGACAACCCAAGGTATTGCAAATGAGGTATGGCCAAATATTAGTTTTTTGCTTTATTCACAAAAAAACAAATATGAACGCTAACTTTGACCAGTGTTTGTGACTAAGTGGCTACTAAAAAAGACTGGACATACCCCACTTGCAATACCTTGGGTTGTGTACTTTTGCAAATGGTATGACATCATGGGGGTAATTCTCATTCCTGGACTACCAAACGGTCTCAAAAGTAACATTACTAATCTGGCAAATTTTGATGTGAAAAAAAAAGAAAAATGGAATGTGCTATATTTGACCCGGTAACTTTCCAAAACACTATAACATTTGTTCATGGGGGGTACTGTTTTACTCATGAGACATTGCTGAATACAAATATGTGTATTTTATTGCAGTAAAAGCAAACAGTATCATGACATATACAGCTAAAATGTCAGGCAGACAGCGGCGTACATACCGCGGTGCAGGGGTCGCCGCTGCAACCGGACCTGCCACTCCAGGGGGCCCGGCTGCCCTGCGGTCCCCTGTGACTGGGTATCTGCCACCATCATCTTCTGTGGCCCTGGCCCGTGCGGCAAACGGTTTGTATGTATGTGTCTGTGTGTGTCTGTCTGTATGTATATATGTGTGCCTGTCTGTTTGTATGTATGTGTCTGTGTGTATGTGTCTATGTATGCGTGTGTGTCTCTATGTATGTGTGTGTGTGTCTGTTGGGGGGGATAGGGAGGGAGGGCCCACTATCATTTTTGCACCGGGGCCCCATGGTTTGTGTGTATGCCACTGCAAGCAGAACTACACATTTTTTTAAAAATCTTAATTTCTCACAGTTTTTTTTTAATTTATTCATAATAAGTTATGTTTTTTTATTTGAATAGTTCATGAGAAGTTAAAGCCCTGTTTCTCCTGAACAAAATGATATATAATAAGTGTGGGTGCACTTAATATGAAAGAGGTGAACTACGGGTGAACAGACATATAGCGCAAATTCTAGGTTTTGTTTACATTTTATTTTGATCAGAACATGTACTATTGACACCGTCCTGTAGGGGTTAAATCATTTTAAAAGTTTATCCAAAAAGATTGAATCATTTTATAAATGTACCAAACAATATAAAATGTTAAAAGACACGTGTTTTTTTTTTTATTGCTTTTGTCCTGAACTGAGAGTTATATAGAATTTTTTTTTCAAAATTAATTCAATTAGGCTCACTATTAAGGCTTTTAGGCTCCTTAGTCAAATCTAACGTATGTTGATTAAATAATACAACAGAAGCATTTGCCTTGTGAACTTGCTTTTAAGTGTAAAGTATGCTTCAATTAAAACTTAATCACGATATCTGTATTATTCAGGATGGCCACAAGATGGTGTACTGCCATCAATAATTCTATTTAATGTCTTCTGTGTATATAATTCTAGTACGTACATGACAAAATGTTTTCCTGTACATACTGATATTAAAACATGCTCTGTTGTATTATTATTATTTTTATTATTATTATTATTTATAAAGCGGAAAAAACTAATTCCACAGCGCTATACAATGGGTGCACTAACAAACATGCATTTGTAACCATATGAATTGGCCGCACAGGAACAGAGGGGTTTAAGGGCCCTGCTCAAATGAGCTTACATGCTAGAGGGAGTGGGGTAAAGTGATACAGAAAGTAAAGATAGAAAAGTAGGTTGCTAGAATAGTATTCATGAGGGCTTAGTGTCTTTTTTTTCTTCTTTTTTTTTCCTTATGACAGTTGCATGAGAGGAATCTAGGTTTGGTAAATACTCTTGATCTCATCTTCACCAAGCTCTATACCTTCTCTAATCTCTCCAATGTTTCCTTTCCTCTACCTGACCACTATCTGTTGACCTTTGACATCTGAGTACCCACTACCCAAATTATACCACCCTCAGCACCTCAGTCTTGCAGAAACCTCCTCTGTCTTGACCTACAGCAACTCTCCACCAACCTCCAAACTCTCCCTTTTCCACTGGCATTATTTTTTCATTATTATTCAAAATAAATGCTCACATGAATAAAGGCCTCTGTGTGTATAATTCTGTGATACATATATATAATTTAATCCCTCTGTTCAGTGCACCTCCTGGCTTGCTCTTGCTCCATGACAGCCATCTTTATACCTCAATGGTCAGCAGCACAGTTTATCAAGAGTAAGTGTTTTCACTGAGCATTCAAGGTGGAATAGGTCCTAAGATATTTCTCACCTTCCCTTTATCATCTTATTGATCTCCTAAGAGAAACTAATGAGAAGACATGCTTTTGCACAGTTCTTGGTACATGGAAAAATTAAATATAAGTGAGTTCAATATGTACTTTTCTGGATTATCATCTGATTATTTTCTGGATTATTCACAGTTAAACACTGACCCATGGGATAAGAACCAAGTAACTTCTTTTAATACAACCACTTCAAAGAGATAAAAAGGTTATAATATTTAGAAATGTCCCAATAATGTGGCATAACAACAAGTTTATTTTCTTAAGGTTTCCAGGACTCCTCTGTATGGCTTTCTCTTCACTCTGTGCTCTAATGTTCCGTTAAAACTTGTGTTTTTAGGGTGGTCACATCTAAATGGTATTAAACCATTGCCTTGTGGTTTGTTCTGAATGTATATCTCAGCAACGTATTGAGAGAGCCACGAATGGGTTAAATATGAATATTGTCAACAGGTAGGTTTCACATACTGTCCTGCATACATTGGGTAGTGGATTTATTTTCTTTTTGCTGTTATTATTCAAAGAGATGCGGCTAAGGTGCTGGTCCATGCTCTTGTTCTCTCTCGCCTGGACTACTGCAATACTCTTCTCAGTGGTCTTACATGTTCCCAGATTGCACCACTGCAATCTATAATGAATGCGGCAGCAAGGCTCATTTTCCTGTCCGCTCGCACCTCCCACGCCTCCCGCTCTGTCAGTCCCTGCATTGGCTCCCAGTTAGATATAGGGCTCAATTTAAAATTCTGGTGCTTGCTTATAAGTCCCTACATAATGCGGCTCCAACCTACCTTTCCTCCCTAATACACAAGTATGTCCCGTCGAGGCTCCTACGCTCTGCCAAAGACCTACGTATATTCTCTGTCCGTACTCCCACCTCTAACGCTCGCCTCCAAGACTTTTCCGGGGCTGCACCTCTTCTGTGGAACTCCCTTCCCTCCTCCGTAAGAATTTCACCCAGTCTCCACTCATTCAAAAAGTCATTGAAAACTCACTTCTTCAAGAAAGCATATCAATTAAACTGTTAGCAGGTTTTTATCCCCCACCCTCCATGACTCCTCTCCTGCAACTGTCAAAAATTACCTACTAAGCCCTCAGCGAATACTTTTCTCACAACTCACTTCGTACCCCTAATTTTACCCTTTGTGTCATTATACCCCACTCCCTCTAGTTTGTAAGCTCCACCTCTCTGTTCCCGTACGTCAAGTTGTCTGGTTACAATTAAATGTCTGTTAGTCCACCCTTTGTATAGCGCTACGGAATCTGATGGCGCTATATAAATAATAAAATAATAATAATAATAATACTAATAATAATATATAGTCTATTTAGATGATGGTTGGCACATCCAAAGCACTGAAACATTCTTGGGTCTGATAAATGCAAAATTATACTTTACTTGTTTGTATTTTTTCAAAGAGGAAGGTGCTTTGGAAGAGATAATGGTTTTCGTAGTTGCTGTTATCAGGAGGCAGATATGTTTATCTGATCTGTTTAGAGTCACTATCAGTCTCTGATGTTGACTCATAATATTACACCCTACTCTTGTTTTTAACTGATAAAATAACACACAGAAAAGTAAAGAAGAGTTATTTGACTAAGCCAAGTTGCAGACAATTTGCAATTTACTGAATTAGAAAAAAAAAGAAATTTAAAAAGCAACAGAGATCCACAATGCTCAAACGCTTTATTCCTGCTCAGAAAAAAACAAAAAACAAAAAACTAAGAAAATTATTTTCTCTGACAGTAAATGGTTGTTGAAATGGAACAATCAAAAGGCAATGTTGATTTCTTTAGGCTATATGTTTGTGCTATAAATTCCTACATGTGTACCTGTATACTTGATATGAATATATTGCTATATACTTTAAGGATTAATAGAAGCAAAACAAGAACTTTGTAATAATACAACATGCATATGTTGGGGGACTGGGCACTAAAATGGCAGATTAAATTTAACGTAGAGAAATGCAAAGTTATGCACTTCGGGGTTAAGAATGCACAAGCAATTTACACCCTAAATGGTAGTGAACTAGGGATAACCACACACGAGAAGGATTTGGGAATTGTTATAGACAACAAATTAGGCAGCAATATGCAATGTCAATCTGCAGTTGCTAAGGCCAGTAAGGTTTTGTCATGTATAAATAGGGGCATAAATTCTTTGGATGAAAATATAATTTTGCCTCTTTATAAATCGCTTGGCGCCTGTTCTAAAGAAAGATATCATGGCACTAGAAAAAGTCCAGAGACCAGCTACAAAATTGATAAAAGGAATGGAGCATTTTAGTTATGAAGAAAGGTCAAAAAAATTAAATCGGTTTAGTTTGGAAAAACGGCACCTGAGAGGGGATATGATAACATTATACAAATATATTCTGGGCCAGTACAAACCTTTATCTGGAAATCTATTCATAAACAGGGTTATACATAGGACACAAGGTCACACATGGAAGAAAGGAGATTTCATCTAAGGCAAAAAAAAAGTTTTTTTACAGTAAGAGCAATAAGGATATGGAATTCTCTGCTTGTCAGAGTCATTACATATGTTTAAACTGCAATTAGATAAATACTTGCAAAAACATAACATACAGGGATATAATTTCTAATTAGTGGGGTAATAGCTGCTTGATCCAAGGAGACATCTGACTGCTATTTTGGGGTCAAGAAGGAATTTATTTGCTAATTGGAAGCGCTTCAGACTAGGTTTTTTGCCTTCTTTTGGATCAACAGCAAAAAACATATGTGAGGAAGGCTGAACTTGATGGACGCAAGTCTCTTTTCAGCTATGTAACTATGTAATATCTTTAGATCAAATAGTCTGACTACTTACAATGGGGAGTCCTAAGGCATTCTTAGCTACATAACCACTACAGCATGCTGTACTGGTTATAGTTCTTGGAGTGCTATTTTAAAGAACATATTAATCCTTTCATCAAGTTTTGAAAGGAAATCAATTTTGCTTATATATGTAGTACATGTACAAAAATGAGAAAACTATTAACTTTAATTCATAACAGGATCCTTCAGCCATATACATGCACTTTTTGTTGGACAGTGTTTGAAAACTGACAGTCAGTCTCTATGGTCTTTTATTTAGTAGTTCCATTCACCCTATGTAACAATTAGAACTGCTCTTTGGGCAAGTATCTCATAATCTGTTTATCTCATAATCGCCAATTGGACAGGGAATGAGAAGACCAGGCCCTATAGACCAAGAATTATATGATTCTGATTCGAGCATCTCATCCTGGTGAGAGAGGGGTCTGTCTGCACACTCTGACCAACCCACTAAGCAGTGTCTCAGGGGTCTCTCTATAGGGTTGTCATTTTTATAAAAATTTTTTTTTAATTTTGACATCATTTTTAACAAAGCTTGGAACAATCTGTAATTATTATTTGTATTTATTTAGCGCCAACTAACTCTGCAGCGCTTTACAATATTATGAAAGGGGTGGAAATTTACCATAAATGAGACAATTACACAGTGACACAGGAACAATAGGTAGATGGGGACCCTGCTCAAATGAGCTTACAGAATAGAGGAGGTGGGGTACAAATACACAACAAGGCAGAAAGGGTGACAGCCACAAAACAAGGTGGAAAAGTAGCAGAACTGGAGGTGAGAGCGAAGTGTGATTCTTTAGAACAAGAGACAGATTTGGATAAAGTATAGATAAGTTACTCTGGGAGTCCATAAGCATTTCTGAACAGATGTGTTTTGAGGGACTTCTTAAACAATTGGAGACTATGTGAGCGTCTGATGGGGGTAGGCAGGCTGTTCCAAAGGAAGGGAGCCGCCCATGAGAAGTCTTGCAATTATATTTTCATGCCCACTGTAACCGTATCTAAGACATAAGCACATAGGCACCATACTGCATGGTTTCAAGCACACACCTAGTTTACAATGATACAGTGGTTAAAATTGGATTAAGGAATTCCTGTTCTGTTCTTAATCCATTGGACAATATCTTCAGTGAGACGAGTGTAAACATCAGCATCTCCAGGCAATCCACATGTAGGGGGACCAAAGCTAACAAGACCTCGGAAAGTTTCATCACAAATTAATGGGCCCCCAGCATCTCCCTGAAATGAGAACTTAGATGAAAACATTGTTTTTGCAGAAACATTATTGTCCACTCCTACATAAAGTGATGTAAATTCAAAATGGAGCAAGGAATAACATTTTATAAGAACCCTTTAAGTGTATAATGATTAACACATCATTCAACATTGTGACATCTCTTTAGAGTATTATCATTAAAAGGATCCAAATTCTTTCTTGAGGTAAAAATATGTTGAGGTGGTTTGTTAACAGAAGCTTAAACACACATTTACACATGTACAAATAGATATACAACTTACACCTTACACATATGTATTTTTATACACGTATGTTTATAATTACTGAACGATGTACCAAATAAACCCAATTTTCTATTATCTCAGATTTCCTGTATGTAATATTTGAACATACCATATCAAGTCTTCAGGATATCCCAAGGTAAAGCCTCTTCAGGTATCTGCTCCTAAACTAATTTTATTATAATTATTATGGTTTGAAGAAGGTGGATGTATATTATTAGGTGGCTGATCAGAGAAAAGACTCTAAGGTTCAGGTGTTTCAGCTTCACCCATTGCTATCAGGTGCATATAATCCAGCACATAGCTATGAGATTCACATAGACAAACATTGACAGTACAATGGGTCATGCTGAAGAGCTCAGTGACTTTAAATACGTCATAGGATGCGACCTTTGCCACAAGCCAGTTTGGAATGTTGGCGGTATTAGATCTGCCTTAGTCAACTGCAATTTTTGAGAAGTGAAAACATCTAGGAGCAACAAACGCTGGGCTATGATGTGTTATAAACATATACTCTCAGAGTAGGGGCACCGAGTGCTAAAGCAAATAAAATTCATCTGTTACATTACTCACTGCATAGTTCAAATGAATCCAAAATCTTATAGACAAGTATCCCACGAAGAGTGGCAGCTATTATAGCCACAACTGTGGTAATTAAATGGTGTTTGAAAGGTTGTCCAACAAGCTCATATATGTGTGATGGTTAGATGTCCTTATACTTTTGCCTATTTAATGTACCTCCCCAATGCCTTCAGACTAGGTATTTGCCTCTTTAATTTCCTGATCTATACCAATCCCCACAGCTTATTTATTTATTTAATTATTTATTTCCTCCTGTTCACATCATCAATGTGTTTTATACACTTAATAGTGTAACTATCTCAGCTACCAGTTGTGTGGGCCGGAGGCAAATCACATATTACACACAGTAAAACTGTTTAACATAAAAGATCAGGATGTATATTGACTTGTAATTCCGTATGTACTGACCCATGGTACGTTGATCCCTTTGCGAGTTGCAGGGGTTCATTTACAATGTCTTTTTGTACGAATTATTTGAATGAATTTACTAAACTTTTTCGATATGGCGAAGGTTATACCCTCCATTTGCTTTATTCCTTCTACTCCGTTTATTAAGTCACTTACGGAAGGAATTCTCTGCTATTTCCAATTAAGAGGGATTAGTTGATTGGTGACCATCATCATGTGGGAATTCAAAGTAGTTCCCTGTTTGCTCTGACTGGGAGGAGATAGTAGAAAAAGGAAAGTTTCTGGTGTAAAATGGATTTGTGTGTTCAGTATCATCTGGGTCATTTTTTTCAGATTTTTCTATTAGAGGACATTGCCACCATATGTGTGAAATGTGGGCATTATCTTCATCACATCTGCAGCGCTTGTTCTGACTGGTGTTGTGTATCTTGTGAATTTTAGCTGGTGTGTAATGCCACCTAGTGAGGCGTTTGCAATTGCTCTCCTGTACCGAGGTGGATGAAGACGCTTTATGCGAATAAATATTTTTTGCCATTGATCCCGGAAAATGTCTACTTTTAGTTCTTCTGCCCATTTAAGGGTATAAGGTGATTGCCTTGTGGTTGAACTTTTTGTAAATGGATGTACATTGTGGAGAGTAGTATCGTTTTTAATAGGTGGGATAGGCATAATTTTTCATAGTGTGTGGGTTCCTGTCCCACCTCTGGCAGTAATTTTCAAGCTCTGGATAAAGTGGATGAGCTGCGTATATTGCAAATGTTGTGTTCTTGTGGTTTCATTGGTGGGGTATATATCTGTTATAGGGATCAGTTTGTGAACCTTGGTCACATCTTGTAATTTTAGGTATATGTTGTTGTAACATTGCCTGAATGAGATTCCTGAGGTTCCCGTTGGGAAGAGTGGGTTATGTGTAAGTGGATATAGTGGGTAGGGATAAGGTGAGAAATATTTGGTCTGTGTTTTCCATGCCCATACTCTAAAAGTTGCTGAAATAGTTAAGAGTTTTGAGTCAGTTTTGTGCCATGGAATAGTTTGTATTGGGATTTCTAGAAAAGAGTCTTCTAGGGTGACCCATTGGTGAGTCGGTTGTTGTCTGGTCCATTTGTACATTCTAACTGGGTGGGTGGCTTTGTAATATGTGTCTATGTCTGGTAAGCCTACTTCTCCCATTTCTCTGGATTTGGTTAGAATGGAATTCTCTAAGCGGGGTTGAGAGTTCAACCATATGAAAGTAGTTATCAGCATCCTTAGAGAGTCAAATATTTTGGGGACATCTATGGTGAGTGTCTGGAGTGGGTAGAGTATGCATGGTAGTATATTCATTTTTATGATATTTACTTTGCAGAACCATCACTGATATGGTTTATGCCATTGTTTGAGATCGTTAGTGATGGTTACCCGGAGAGGGAGGAAGTTCAGTTCATACAACTTTTCTAACCTGGTTGGTATATGTATGGCTAAGTATTTAATAGAGGTTTCTGCCCAAGAGAAATGAAATATCTGGCATTGGCCAGTATCTGTTTCCGGTGTGGTATGGATAGGGAGTATTTCACATTTTGTTAAGTTAGCTTGGAAATTAGATACTTCACTATAGATGTTCATTTCATCTAGAATATGTGGAATGGTGTTTATTGGGTCTGATATTGTAAATAGAAGATCGTCCGCAAATGCTTATATTTCTTGTTCGTAATCGTAATGCCTTTGATTTGAGAGTTGCCTATGACTCCTTGGAGAAAGGATTCAAGTACCAGTATGAATAGGAGGGGCAAGAGAGGGCATCCCTGCCTCATGCCATTGTTTGTTATCACTGGGTCAGAGAGTTGATCGTTAATTCGCAGTCTAGCAGTGGGTGACGAGTAAATCACATCCTGCCACTCCTGCCAACGTGTTCAGAAGCATAAGTATTGCATAGTTGTCAACATTAGAGTCCAATTTACCCTACTGAAAGCTTTTTCAGCATCCCTCCCTCCACCCCACTCTCTTCTGTACCCGATGCCCCCTTCCTCTCCCTCCTCCCCGCCTCCTAAATCTCCTAACGCTTCATACGAGCATTGTATTGCCGAAGGTCTTGACCTTGCCACGTAATACCCCCATCTAAAGCAGCTCTATCTCATGCACAGAGATCGAGCCACTATAGTAAAGGGACAAAAGAGTAATTATACTAGATCCCACAAATGCTAAGCACCTAATCCCAAGGGACATATACAGTTACAGTTATATTAGCTACAGACTTAAAGCAGATACCTAATTCGATAGAACACCTATTTTCTCTATTCCTAACTAGAACAGAACTGAAAACTATCAAAAGCTAAAACATTTCGAAATTGTACTTATTATTTACATTACTTTGTGTTAGAAACATTGTTTAAGTGTTAAGTTTACCTGTTGTAAATTGTATTATTCCCTCATTGAGCGTTTATTAATCTCCAGTTACATATCCAACCCACAGCTTAGTGTATGACTACTGATTGTGTGGATGACTGCTTTGACTAAATTTGGGGACAACACCAAGGAATCAAAGTCATCCTGAGTTGTTGTTTATGTTTCAAATTTGTTTGAGGAAAATTGCGGTAAGAGGCCCACTATCAAATAACTGCAGATCAGTGACAGTTTTTATTCTAATAGTCTGTGCCTTTCCTGTCATAGTAACTGTCTTATTCATTAAACCTCAAATTTTAGTGAATCAAATAGAAATTGCAAAATTTAGGTTGAAATAGTTTATTTGCAAGAAATTTTTTTTTTCAACTCCGCTATAGTCACAGTTTTATCTATATTATCCTCAATTTTGCAATTTAGATTTTATTTGCTAATTTTTGAATTACACTGCAACATAAATGCGGGTACCAGGGAAGATTAGAGGAAAGAACCCTCCTGAAAAGCTGGTATAGTATTTAAGATCATATATTTCACTCTTTAAAGGGAAACTATAGTGCCAAGAAAACACACTAATTTTCCTGGCACTATAACTTCCCCCTTTGTCAAGGTCCCCTTATGTCACTTATCTGGGTCCTGCACCAATGTCCCTGGGCGCTGGCTCAGCTCTGCCCACGCTTCTCCCCCACTGACGTGGGAGACCTAATTTGCATTCACGGCAATGGTTGCGTTAGCATTATGATCTCTCCATAGGAAAGCATTATTCAGTGCTTTCCTATGAAAATTCTGGTGACGCTGGAAGTCCTCATGCATAGCGTAAGGACATGCAGCGTCATTTAGATGACCAAAAGTCATCTGAGAACCCGGAAGTCCCTCTAGTGGCTTTCTGGTAGACAGCCACTACAGGAGGACGTAACCCTAGCAACTAAAAACTGCAATAATTACATGCTCAGGGTTAAGAGTGATGGGAGTGTGCAACCAGACCACTCCTAATATATAAAGATAAGAAGAAAAACGAGAAATGGAATAATAACATCCTTTTAACTTGTAATTTCAATGGAAATCATGATAAAGTAAATAAAATTGTTAATAAATATTGGCATATTTTACGAGACGATCCAGTTCTTAAAGAAATTTTACCTGAAAAACCTAAAATTATTTATAGAGGAGCAAGAAACTTAAATAGCACCCCAGTACAAAGTAGTAAAAGGGAGATAACACCTATAAATATTTTTTTTTTAACCAAAGCAAGGGTTTTTATGGTTGTGGGCAGTGCTTAGCATGCAGGAACACAAAAAGTAGAAACGACACATAATGGATATGGAACCTTGGATAAATAAAAAAATTTCAATTAAAGACCATTTAACATGTCACTCAAAAGGGGTGATCTATGTATTAAAATGCCCATGCAACCCCCTCTATACAGGCAGAACAATTAGATGCTTATATGTAAGGATAGCAGAACATACAAGAAACATAAAGAATGGGTTGGAGTCACACAGTGTCTTGAACCATTTCAAAATAGCTCATAATGGAAGGACTTAAACAAGATTTTGAACTATGTCATTTTATGAATTAACTTCCTTTAATATGCCACTTTATCACTTCAGGTTTTATATATTATTTTTGTTAGATGTACCAATATTTTAATAATATTTTTCTGAATTTTAGGAGGTAATAGGCTGATCTTTTTAGTTTTAGTAGTTGGCGATTTTAAAACATTGGTTTTATTATATTTGTGTTTTGAGAATGAATATGTGCACCTCTGAATATAACATTTTTAGTCCAACATTTTAAGAAATGAACACTTTTTAAATCTCTTGGTGATTGCATTGGAGTACCATAAGTTAATGTATGTCTCTTTAAATAAGTATTAATTGATACATTAATATTGATGTCTCTCTTTTTAAAATTTTGGAACTTGCTTAGATATACAAATAAGTGGGAAGATGCATATAACAGGCATTTATATTTTATTGCATATGCTATTATACTTTAGAACTGCTCACTTTGTGTTAAAATAAGCCGATCGAGAAATGCGGCTTGTATAGGGGCGGGCCATAAGGAGGAGACGTCAAGAGGTTGGAACGCATGGTGCATTCCACCAGAGTGTAAGCAGAATCCGGAGGGAACACCAGGAAATGACACCATAGTGATGGAACGCATGTTGCATTCCAATTGCCCGAAACGGAACCCGGAAGTGAAAAAAGAGTAGAGGAGTTATCCGGAAGTAGGGATGAAGCGGGCGATTGGAGAGAGGAGAAAAGCGGTGAGACACACCAAAGCCAACTGAGGAAGCCTGTTTTATCTGGTGAAACGCGTTTTGGACACTTTGGACACTTTTGGACATTTGTTTGGACTACACAGTTGATCCAGAACTTTATCTGGTATACTATATTTTATTTATTTTATTTGAGTGTATTTTAACCAATAAAGCACCTTTTCTTTGGAAGAAAACTTCTTTGACTTGGCATCTGCATTACCCTGAGCTGGTCAAAGGTGGGACAAGACAGATCACCACATAGAAGAAGGATTTGGACATCCTTTTAATGGTCCACAAGCGCACATCATTGAGTCATATGAGGGTATGACTCCAGATTTGTGAGTGACACCACTCTTGCATTTTAATATACGTTATACTTGACAATATTGTATTGCACTAGTGTTTTATAATTTTATTTTTCAGGATATCCACTAAACAGTTATTTAGAAGCTCCACCTTACGTATGTATTTATAAAATACACAGGACAGACCATAATTCCCAATTGAGTAAAGGTCTTCTATTTGGAGGAAACAGAGTGGACTGGTGCCTTTCACAGTGCAGACATCGCCTTATCTTCAGTTTGCAGTAATGATGATAATGATAAGATATTTTACATCAAGACGGATTTATATGAGGATGCTCCTATTTTGTGTTTGCAATAAAGTTGCTTGATTGGTTCTGGGATATGCATGTGTGTGGATAAAATGGTGGAAAAATGCCACAGATAACAAATTGTAGTGGCATCACAGCAGATGGAGAAAATTTTAGCTAATGAAAGGATCTATAAATGAAGACATTGCACAGATGGATCTTAGGGTTCCTTTGTAAGGCATATTAATCAGGGCTCAAGTCCTGCAGGAACGGCACTTTTTTCCACAGCAGATACACCGTTCCTGTTAGTAGTCCTGCAGGACCTGCCCTTTGGGTTGGCGGTTCTCGCAAGAGACACGTTCAGATAAGCAGATCACATCTTCGTGGGAGAGAGGATATGACCTGTCTGCGGCCCCCGGAAGTGATAGTATGGCCGCTAACAGCCCCGGGAGTCCTGCCAGAAGGGGTATTGTACGAGCTGGAAGTATCCAGCGGAGCTCAGCATCCCTCCCCTCGCAGAAACGCATCCATCACTGACAACTGTAGCAGACTTTATGCATTCATCCAACCAATGCTCGCTTGAATTTAGAGGCGGGGCCTGACCTTGGCCATTGCAGTTGACTGGCGGCAGGTGTGAAGGTATGTGAGTTTAGTGGAAGGAAAGAACTCAATAAAAGCAGCACAAGAGAACATACATGTAATGTGTATTGCAGGGTTTGTGTGTTTAATGAGGGGGGGTGAAGTCAAGCCTTGCAGTAGATCTAGTCTTTGGTGTTACTGCAAGCTCTTCCCAGCACAGACTGTATCACAGCACATTGACTAGTGTTTGCAGGGCAGGTGCCCGGGGTAATTAGTGGGTAATTAGTAATTAGCTTCCTTTGCTTTAGCAGTAACAGGGCTGGGTGTATGACAACTCCGGGGGAGGTGTCAGAATCCCATGTGAACTGCAAATCATCTCACAAATAAATAGTGCTAGCTAAATAGCAAGAGTATGTATAGATTTGTTGATTTAATAATAAGAGAAAGTGCATTTAGTTATAGTGCGACAGGAGTGCTACGCGGTATGTAGATTTCAAAAGCTGCCATTTGGAAATTAAAGGGACATACGAGTGTATAAATGTAGTTGGTTTTTTTTTTTGGGGGATCTTGGGTGAGTTCCCACACTTTTTTCCTCCAGGACTTGACCCCTGATATTAATGAAATGTGTTTAGCTACAATTTTCTTTTTCTTTTTTAATCCACTGACACTTTGGTTAGAAGACCTTGCTGCTACTTTTATCATGACCCCTAGTACTCTATAGAAGATCTTGTGGGCTAGATGTACAGACTACATATGGACTTTTGCTGGAGATTTTGGTCCTGTTGGACAATATAATTTAGTCAGGGCCCCAGGTTTTTCAGCAACCAGACTGACTGGAAATCCCCAGCTTTAGTTACATTGGATGGTGGGATTATTGTATTAAAAACTAGGATTTTCAGAACCCCCCCACAAGCCAATTATTTTGGTGTAAAAAGTACATGGGGCATGAGTGTCTTATCCTCCTACTCCCCTCCCTAACCCTCCCCCCCCAAAAAAAAAAAGTTAATTAATGTTATTGTCTTTGGGTATCACCAGAGTTTAACATGAATAGGATAACAGCTTGCGTTTTTCCATTCATCCATTTATGGCACTGAAGAGACAAATCTATACCTGTTCAAGCACAATGTTAGGAAAAAAATATGTTTTAATAAATCTAAATGATTAGATGCATTTTATTAATCTTTTGTTGCAGAATATGCAATACTTACATTACAGGTGCCTTCTCTGTTACTCCCCACTTCTGTGCATAACATATTATTAGTAATTCCATTGAATATAGTGCCGCATGTCGTTCTGTTTAATATCATAACGGTAACTTCTATTAGTGCTTCTGAATCACCAGTTTTACTGTTATTGATTTGTCCCCACCCTGCAGTTTGGCAAGCAGTGCCAGGCGGAATGTCATCAAACGTCTGAGGTAGCTGTATGACATTGACAGAACTTGTGGTGATAGCAGTATTATTCAACTGAAAAGAAAAAACACATACTTAATATTGTTACTATATAGATAATGATCACTAGTTTTATATTATTATCTGGAGCTGCAGTGATATTGCATGGTAGGATTGTTATTTCCTGTTGATAAACAATTCTTAGTATCTCTGCAGTTTAAAGGCTGGATTCTCTTATCAAAGTAAGTTTATTTCTGTTTGATAAATAGTAATTTTTCAACTAAAGTTAATGGTAAAATTTCCATTCAGTAAGCAGAATAAACCTTTAGAGGAGAATTCAGCAAATTAATATTTGATTGATACAGCTTCTGTCTGCTATTTTGAAGAATTAAGAGGCTATAATTTATGTTGTATCATGTTTATTTTTATGTAGCTCAGCATGTGATAAGAGAGGGTTGATAGCGTCTTTTCAGGTTTGTTTAAAATAATAAATAAATAAATAAAAATAAGTTGGAGTGCTCAGAATACAAAAAAGGTGAGAAGGCCAAAGAATGGGCGCTTCCCTTTCTAAACCCCATGGACTTTCGGTATACAATAATCTATTATTTATAGCTATTAGACATATATATACTATTGCCCTTTTGTCCCTGCACACACTCTATCAATTATTTCAAATGCCGGGTGCATTCCAGCCAAAGTCAAATATCATACAAATTGTTAAATGAAGGCTTGCACTCACTGTCCTTTTCTTGTAAAAAGTTTTTCTTTCTTTATTCCATATTCTTTAAAACATACTGTCTGTTAGAATCAACGTTTCAGCCACCGTCCGTGGCTTTCATCACGATCAGTTCAGCATAACTACATTTGTCACATATTACATTTATATAGCAAAATAAACCAATTATCTAATCATATGATCACTCACCACCTGGTTCGCTGCTTTCTTGGCGTCCTCCCGTTCCCACTGCGCATGTGCTACTTCCTCGCACCCGGAAGTGGTATGTTAACCCGGAAGTGACGTATTAA